GGCGGGCGGGCAAAGTGTGACTGCAAAACTAAGGGCAAATTTAAAATTTTGCTGTTTCGCCGCAAAAGTCCCTAGTGTGAATAGGCCGTTACAATGCACATTGGAAAAGCGGCAAAATAGCAACCAGGAGGAAGAAGAACACAGAGATTCTTCTCCAATCAGCAGCAGCAGCAAGGGTTTGCGGTACACACGTGACAAATTCAACAGAGGAACAGAAATCAGAGCTGAGGTGCGGATGGCTGATGGAGGCGATCTTCTTCAGCCTGATTGCAAGCTTGCTTGCCAGGGACAATGAAGATTGTTGCGATTCAGGATGAAAAAGATTGCTTTGCTCCATCATATTTTTGGGAGAATGAAACAAGTGCTCGGGGCCGCTAGACAATGTCCAACAGAAGAGTTTATTGAAATAAAAAGCAAGAATCGAATTGAGAAAAGAGAAAAGATTCACGGTTGCACCCGGTTCTCAGCAGGGGATGCTCCCCACCAATCGAAAGGAGCTATTGTTAATGGTAAAAAAAACAAAAAGGGAGAAAAAATGCAAGGACTCCAAGGAGTCCATCATGTCACCTTCAATTTTAAACGAGTACCAGCACACGTAACTACTGCTCGACAACACCCAACAGAAGCCTAATACCGTTGAATAAACATCGATGACTGAGAAGAGAACAGGCTTTCTCCCACTGCAGTAGAACTGCTCTGCACTAGATCGTCACAGCCGGCAGTGTAAGGAGTTTGCAGCTAGAAGCTGTTAGTATAGCTCCTTTTTAGTGCAGTGGAACAGTCCCCGAGGACACAAGCTGTCAGGCTGTGTCAGTTATGCGAACAGAGGGGGTTGAAAAGTGCAGTGAGAATTCTTGTCAAAATATCTTGCTCAGCAGCTTCGGCTGCAGCCTACATTCTCTTGGGGTAGAGCCCGTCAACCTGACTTTTTTTAGAATGCAGTGGAAGGGTCCCCAAGGACACAAATTGTCAGTTATGCGAACAGAGGGGGTTGCTAAGTGCAGAGCGAATTCTGGTCAAAAATTCTTGCTCACCAGCTTCGGCTGCAGCCTACATTCCCTTGGGGTAGAGCCCGTCAACCTGACTGCCGCCGTGGGAGAGGCATTTTAATCTGATCTGTCTGGGCAAGTACAGCAATTTCACACATCCATGTCTTTGGTACGAAACCACTGCACCACAAAGAGCGCACAGGCACACTCCATCGAATCGCATCACCTTTTAAGTTTATCATTCTTCTCTGCCACTTAGTTAGCTAGACTCGGCTGCTTGGCGGCAATAGGGAAAATCACGATATCGTTGGCAAAGGGCGAAGGGCCTTGAAGGGCCGCAGCTTGCAGCCTAGGGCTGCGCGAAGCATGCTTCTAGCTCTTGCACCGAGCATCCTAGATGTGCTAACATTGCCTTCATAAAAATGGACAGCCCAAGTGGAAGATAGTGCCACCAGCGTGCATCTTGACCGAGAAGAAATAGCATGCCATTTGGTACAACACAGCAGAGAAATCCAAAACTGAACGCACCAGATGATCAACAGAGAACCAGATCTGCAAACAACGAGTCATGGGCGTTGCGGAACAGGCAGCCCGCTCGATAAATCCGTAGGCATTTTTGTTGCGACCAGCACATCCATCTTACTTCACATTGCCTTGGAGCAATTGACTCGGCTTTTGATCTTGCACGAACCTATTCCATAGGAGCATCCCGGTAGCCTCCGGATGCACGAACCGAGTGCATGGGCTGCTAGCCTCGGATGCAGTATTTCACTCTCTTGGGTTGAGCAAAGCACAGCAGGTTATGTCTGGGGTACATGCCAAACATGGAGTTTAAGTTAGTGTCCAGGGAAACTATGCCAAACCATAGATCCACTGCTTATTCCATGGACTAAACATCGTCCAGCCAAGCGTCGATCGTCGCTGGTACCAGTTTCATCCGAACCGCACCAGAAACAGGGCAAAAAACTGCTCTCTGATCTCAGTGATGCTGGTAGCCCCGCCCCCATATGGCAAAGGAGGCGAAACCCAACTCAATCGAAAGACTATTCTCACTAAGTTAGCGCAGCAAAACCCCGCACAAACTGATGCAGCATCTTAGCCTCGCCACATTACCGCAAAGGAGGCAAAACCCAACTCAATCAAAAGTCTATTCTCACTAAGTTCGAGCACCAAGACCCCACACAAACTGATGCCGAGGGAGTCAATCTGCGACATCACAGGTGAAAATTGAACCAACTACCGGTAGTTGCCAGAACTTCACTACCGATATGCAGCATACACCGCCAACAACCAGTGCAACATAGTTTCACCATATCACCAAATCTCCTCTAAACCATGTACAGTCCACAGCAGAACAGACTTTTCCCTTCCCCATGTCATATCACACATCCAGATCCTGACTGGTGCAGAGCTCAGTCTCCGTCCTCTGGCCATAGATCTTCATCGATTCCACCATCATCAACCTCCATAGCAGACTTTTGGTCCCATGAAAAATCAGTTCCAGGTATCATCCCGCTCCTCTTGCCTTACCGTCTTGTTGATTCACCGGCTTGATGGAGTATATTTCCTTGCACTATATCTCACCAATCAATGGTCCAGAAGCTGTCTCTTATACACATCTAGATGTGTATAAGAGACAGCCTCTTGCCTTACCGTCTTGTTGATTCACCGGCTTGATGGAGTATATTTCCTTGCACTATATCTCACCAATCAATGGTCCAGAAGAGCTCATTTTGCTTTCTGACAGAGGGAATGGCTGGAGCTCCTANTGCTGTTGCGAGTTACCAGCTTGCTCCTCTTCCCTTACCGACTTGTGGATTCACCGGGTTGATGGAGTATATTTCCTTGCACTATATCTCACCAAACAATTGCCCAGCAGAGCTTATGTTGCTTTCTGACAGACGGGATGGGGGAAGCTCCTGAAAGTGCTTCTCGTGCTGTTTGTGAGTCTGACTGGACCACTGCCCACTGAGACTGCCCTTCTCTAGAGGCTGCAGCTGCAGATTCTGAGCATGTTGAAGTTGCCATTGCCGCTCCTATCTACCCACCTCATTGATCCATACGCCGCTGACGAACATTTCCTAACCGTTACGACAGGCAATTGTGGAAGTCAAAGTGTTGCGACAATCTTTTCTCCTTCGACTTCTTCAAGCAGCTAGGACGCTGCTCAATTTGAGCAGCACCGGATATATCCAGTCAGCATTGCCAACAGAACGTCTAGAAGCCCCAGTACCATGATCATGATGCTGTTGAGGTATGGCGCAGGTCAACGATGCTGCTCTGTTGTTCAATCCTGGTTCAACCACGCTGTGCCGAGCAAACTGCTCCTCATTTCATAACTAGCGGGCAGAACGAACAACTCGACAGAGTCGACACTATAGCCCATTCTCGCACTACAAATAGTACTTGCGACAAACGTGCTGGAGAGTCCCATTCTCCATTCTGGCACTCCCAATACCTTCGACAAGCCTGCTGGAGAGTCCCATTCTGGCACAACCCTGCTGGACAGTTCTTTGTTGTATTTTAAAAGGGCGATGGCTTTGAGATATTATAATTGAACTGCCCGCCCCCAGGTAACTCAGAATCATGTTATCTGGTCATCCGATTGCATCTGGATTTGAACTTGGGTCCGTATTTGAGCCGTTCATGGGTGTACCGACTGAACCCTGATGGAGAGTTGCATTCTTCCAGTACAGGACCTGAGTAGAGTCCCATTCTCACACCACAGGACGTAAGACAACCCTCCATGGCAGTCCCATTCTCGCACTACTGGTGATTTTGAACTCAAGGGAAACTGTGTTTGAGATGATGACCAGCAGCATTTTGTTAAACCACCAGTTCGCATGAGTCTAAGGTGACGAAGCTACCTTCCAAGGGTTGCGAGCTTGCGACTGCACTTCAAAGTGAGTGGCCTGCTGCTTTCGCTACCAGCCCAGGTCCGAACCGATATGCACTTGCAGGGTCTTGCCCTGTAGAGTAAACCAGCAGTACTCTGCTTCCGGTGAACTGGAGGTTTAAGGGTTCCGATATCCCATTACGGAGGTCGCCTCCTCATCTTGGCTGCCAATGTGTCAGTCATTGTATCTGAAAAGAGGAGAGACAATGCCAGCCTCTGTTGCCTGTGGCACCCAGACACTTAGCTCCTGACTATGTTACCGGGAATGCAGGTACGGTAAAATTTCAGAGTCTGGCACCTTCCAACAGCTTGGAACCTGAAGCTCAAGCAGCTGAAAGCTCTAGCTGCAGAAGCCCATTCCCATTCCCATTCCCATTCCCATTCCCACTTGAACAGCCAAAGCTCTACCAGCAAAAAAACACAAATTGCCACCTAAGGCTTCAGCAGCAAGAGTCCCAGTGCCAGTGAAGCCCCAGCAGTAGCAGTTGTCCCCGCTGCCAGTCCCAACAGCAGAAATCCCAACGTCAGTCCCCGTACTCCAAATGATGCCGGTTCACAGCATTTGAAATTTCCATGGGTGAGATGCTAGGGAGACGGGGATGATAACTATTTTCGTTTCATAGCTGTGATTCACCAACCTGTGGCCTGAGCATCACACTCTCCGCATCCTGAAGGTGTCCGTGATCCCCTCAATTCTTTAGGCTTTTCCTTGAACTGCATTGGATATTCGTAACGATGAAGCGTGGCAAGGCGTCTTCAGAGCAAACTCGTTTACGCCGGTATTTCTGATGCAGAGGAGAAAGAGGCAAATATTATATTCCCAGTTGAAACTGCCAAGCTTTCACCTACAGGGGCCATTCGTTGGACCGGATTGTGGAATCAGGCCCTGGATTAACACAACTTCGTTGATAACACCAGTATTTCTGACGCAATGGAGACAAGAGTCGACGATTCCGATTGTTGGTTAGTTAGAGCTGTCATGAAGTTTCTTTAGGTGACATTACCTCTATGCGTCCTTCTACGATACCTTCGGACCAACTTCCAGAGTCGGAAGACCAAAAACCAGATCTAGACTGAGCGACCAGCCGTTTGATTGTCGACACCAGCAACTTGTTGTCAATTGGCTTGGTAAGGTACGCATCCATTCCGACACTGATGCAACGCTCCTCATCGCTGGCCATTGCATGCGCTGTTAGAGCCACAATTGGGAGGTGTTTTCCAGACAGCTTCTCGAGTTCTCGGATCTCCAGGGTCGCCGTGTACCCATCTTTTCTTGGCATCTGCAACAACCGCAAATAAAATCATCATCATCATCATAATTGTTATCCTCCATTATCATTATCATCTGCCAGTGTCAATACCCACCTGGCCCATGCGTCTGAATGTTACACTACTACACACACATGTGATCGTTGATAAACAAGTCACGAGATCGAATTCTCTGATGGAATCAGGTGAATAAGAACAATAGCGGTTGATCCCACAGAAAAAGGAAAAGCTCTCAATACCTTCTTCTTCTCCTTCTCCTTCTCCTTCTTTCTTCTTTCTTTTTCTTCTTTCTCTCTTCTTTCTTCTTTCATCTTCCTCTTCCTTCTCCTTCTCCTTCTCCTCCTCCTCTTCCTCCTCCTCCTCCTCCTCCTTCCTTCTTTTTCTTGACGCCAGGGATTGTGTGCAAACTGAGGGCCAGTAGGCCCTTATCGGACCAGCTGTGGCCGCATTGGCCGGGCTAGTGCAGACCAAGGCCCTGCACCCCAACCAACAGGCAGAGGCCCAGGCAGTCCCTAATAACCCAGACCCTGGAAAGTCCGGAGTAATCTGCACTCTGGCCTCTGCCCCGACACATCACCCTCATCCTCCCCCAAACCCCTGGTTCCCCGTTTCCCTGTTTCCACATCGTGCAGCCCCCACCCGATCCATTTGTGTGCCCCCTCCCTCCTCTTTCCCACCCCATCATTGTCCGCTCCGCCCCACCACGTTTCTGCATCCATTTCCCTGCGCCTCTTCCACACATCCCGTTCCTCCCCACCCTCAATCCACATGTCCTCCTCCCCCCCCCCCAACCCCTCTCTTTCGATCACTTGTCCCCCATCTGGCCACATACACGTGTTCGGGACGTGCCGTGAAATTGCAGGGAAGCAACATGCAAATGGGTCCAGACTCCAAAGCAGTAAAGCGGGTGAAATAGTGTGCGCATGGGAGGGGAGACAGGTGGGAGGGGCCATGTGCATTGGGTCGGGAAGGGGCGGGGCATATGGGGAGGGAAATCAGGGGGAAGGCAGGTGGGAGAGGGTGTGCAAAGTTAGAAGAGGCAAGTTGGGGGTGAGTGAATTGGGGAGGAGGGGCCGTTCGACCAAAAGCCTAACTTCTTTAGGAGAAGTCACAGGTTCACACCAAATCCCGTTTTTCCCAGGAGGTATGGACGAGTGGGTGAAGGCATTGGTTTGCTAAATCAACATACAACAACATTGTGTGGTGGGTTCAGATCCCATTTCCTCCGTTCGTTCCATGGGGCGTGTAGTTCAAGTGGTAGAACACATGTTTTCTTTTCCAGGTGTGAAGCTATCAGTTCAAGTCTGATCGTCTCCAAGCGACTTTCCCCCTGAGCCCACGTAATCCGTTGATACTGTTCTTTGCATGATTTCGTTTTCAACACACGCGATGACAACTCACCTGGCAATCCATGAGTATGGCATCTATCTCTTGACCCTTGCTCGATTGTGCTCCCTGCAACCAAAATCCATAGTCATAGTTAGAACTTAGAATAGTCCCAGCAGGCAATAGCTTGTACTAACATTGGTAGCATAGCATGACATAGCAGTACATGCTACATACCGTTGCATGAATAGATACTAGATAGCAAACTATGGTACATACCCATGTTACCAGAGTGGCCTGGGACCAATTGCCTGGCCGGGACAAAAATGAATTAAAAATTAGAAATAAAATGGCATTTTCATATGCAGCATATCATGGGAATGGAATACCAACCTCATTTATAATGAAATGGAGTTGGTAGAGCACGTGAGCGGCATTCAGGAGGCCGCCTTCCGCACGCCCTCCGTTCGATTCCCCGCAGCCCCTGCGGCGCGCTTCGCTTCGGGTTCACCAGCTGAGATAGTTGGCTTGCGCCCCCTAGTTCGTCTTGGTAGGGGCTTTGCCCTCGTCCATTCCATCCATTTCCAGGGGATAGACTCAACCCTAAGGGGATAGGCTCAGCCCAAGCTAGCAGACTTACCCCTTAGTGCACTTGGGTAGATAGGTAGATAGCGGGATCCTGCACTGGAGTGCTGCCATGCTAAATATGTGGGCGGAGTACACAGGTAGCTAGGGTGAGGTGGGAAAATAAATATTGAGAGAAAGAAATACTAAAATAGCGTAGTGAATACAGCTGCCCCTCATACATGAGGAGAAGACAACTTATTTTTTCCTCAAAAAGCAAAACAAAGAAAGAAATGGAATGCACATCGCACAGGTTCAAATGGCATGAAATACTAAAATAGCGTAGTGAATACCGCTGCCCCCCATGTCTGTGCACTACCCACAAATGCCCATGAACCATGGCTACCGCGGACCTGGACAGCAGTCCAATCCACGGTGCCGGACACTGACAGCCTGAGCTGCGTCCGAAATTCTGGATCTGCCCTAAAAAAACAAAAAAAAAAAAAATTCGGTTTTTGAACTTATTTCAACTTATTTGCTTCTCGAATTTGGTTGCGAATTTCGATATGGCCCTCTCAGCCAAAAGTTGATTTTATTGGCTGCTGCACAACATATTCTTTCTTTTTCGTAAGTTTTTGAATTTTTTTGAAACATCAAACGCTCAAAATTTGCAAAATTTTCTTTTAATTGTAAAATAATAAAATACAGTGGTTTGAACTTGGAATTCTATCCAGACAGCTCCAAGCATCCAGACTCCAAACCTCAGACCACAGACCGTCAGGACCCCCGTCCGGCGGTCCAAATGGTAGCCATGCTGCAAAGCTATATTGTCGACCTTCTGGATCGGGTATGGACCAGGGGATGCCCTGAAAAAGAAAGTAAAAAGTTTCATTTGGTTTCTCGAATTTGGTTGCAAAATTGCGAAGTATATTGTCCAACCTATATGTTCTGCCTATCATGGAACATTGGAACTCAACATTGGAACTCAACATTGGAACTCAACATTGGAACTCAACATTGGAACTCAACATTGGAACTCAACATTGGAACTCAAAGTTTTGGGACTACTGGTTGTCACAACATAGTGCAAACTATGCGTACTCCTGCAAGTGCGAGGCCACAGCCCGCCCTGAGCATCCTGGGCCTCTCAGCAAGGATGGCCGCCCTAAGTGAAGGCGGCCCTGTAAAATTACATGAAGCCTATTTCATCCTTTTCCGCAAAGTGGGGCTCAGACAGTTATGCTGTGTCAGTTGGTTGAATGAACCCAGGCTGTGGGCAACAGTATCCAGTCAAGGGCTTCTAGGCCCTTCGTATGTTTTTGGGCACAGGCCCTGGGGCAGACACGGGGCACAAACTGCACGCAGCACGCTTGGCAGTTGGACATGCGTAACCACCCAGGGCCCTGCGGAATACTCTGGCCTCAGGCACTTGGTGCAAGGAACCTGACTGTTCACAGCTTGCTGGAGTGTTCACAGTGCATGCATAAAATGTCATCACACAGATGAAGTAGCCTCACACAAAGCCAAGACGAGATGGAAAGAGAACCAGATAGCGCAGCTCATATTTCAAAGTCACATTATATAAAGAGTATCTTGAGTTCAAGAGTCCAGCGCCAAACAGATCACAAGTCTTCTTCAATCATTTGTCAACAAAGGGCCTGGCTCAGCCAGCGTCTCCCCTCAGATCACAAGTATGGCGCCAACAGGTAAGTATCCACCATATCCAACTTCATAACCTGTCTTCTCTCTCCCTCTCTTCTCTCTCAAGATCTCTGTCCTAGTTCCCTCGTCTCACCATGCATGCACACTCCCTGTCTATGAGAATCTACTTTGAATGCTACTCACTGGTATCCTATTACTAACCCTTCTACTACTACTAACATTAGCTGGCGCAGCTATGGCCTCTTCTGCAGCCTGCGCCCAGCACTTCTCCTTCCTGGCGCAGCTCTCAAGCCAGCGCTCTCTCCCTGCACTCTAGCGCACAAGTGCCACAGCACTTCCACGCATCAATGCCAGTGGAAAATCTGCCTTGTGGGGAGGCTGCCTCGTTTCTTTTAGTGCTGGCCTCCCCTTGCAAGGTCTGAATTCAGTCTTTCTTGGGTCCTTTCCCAGTCCCAGGCCTCTGTGGAGTGTGTCCCAGTTCCTTATCCTCAAGGTCTGCTGCTGCGGCGGCCTTCAGGCCTGAATTTCGGACTTCCAATCTGTATCTAGACTTTCCCTTTGACTTGAATCTGGACTGGGACCTTATCTCTTTGACTTCTTTGCGAACAGACACACCTACTGTTCAATCGACACACTTATTGCACGAACAGACACATCTCCTGCACGAGCAGACACATCTCCTGTTCGAACAGACATGACTTGCACACCCCCTGGATGAACAGATGTGACTCCCACAATTGAGTACTGCAACTGTTCGTCCAGGGGCACAACTGTGACCTTTGACATGAGCTTTTACTTTAGTTAGGATGTGACCTTTGACCCAGAGAACATGTCTTTTAATCTGCTTTTCACGAATTAGGCTCTGGCCGAGTGACCCATAATGCTGCGTTCGTCATTCAGGGCCTGAATCGGGTAAAGACCCTTTTACTTGGGGCCTACCGGAAGCTTCTGGGCAGGGACCCAGTGCAGCCAGGCAGTACGCAGCAGGCAGGCCACTTCCATAAAGGAAAGTGCCTGCCTCCGCATTTGGGATTCGGGCACTCGCTGCTTATGCGCAAGCGCTGCTGCGCCAGCTGCTGGAGCGAGTGCCTATGTGCTCACAGGCGAGCAGGGAAGAAGCAGGCAGCCATAGCCGAGCTGGCCTGCACATTGCTGGATGGGGGGCATGGTGGTCCTTGGGTGCATATGGCATCTGTGTGGGGGGTCGAGGTTGTCAGTGAAGCGCGTGGCATACCTGGTGCTTGAGGCGAACGGCATTAGCCGAGATCTGCTCGTACTACGGGAAGCTGTTGACGTCACCAGCGACACTGTAGATAGGCTAGATAGAATCTGCCATTCGTAGTCTGGGCGCTGAGCGCCAGATAGGGATTCAACATTGGTTCATTGTTGACGATGATGAGACTATTCCAACATTATCACTTGTGAGCTTTTGCTGTGCTCTTATTTGGTGGAACTCTTGCAATTCCGCTTTCGGTTCGAGGTCAAGACTATCTGGTTTCATGTGTATGATGCTGCTTGGTTTCAGGAATTCGCTATGGCTCATTTTCCTTGCACAAGGCTGCCATCACGCTCTTTTCTTCGGACATCCAGATATGTGTTTGTGTGTGTATCTGTGTTAAAATCTGGGCCGCCCGGCGTCCCAGCCTTCGTCCGGCAGGGGCCCGGGGCGGCACGGCCGGTTGGGTCCCCTGGTTTGGCACCCGGCGGGGCCAGCGCAATTTCGCGTGGGGGGGAGGGGGGGGGGGGGGGCCTTTTTC